CCAATATTAAGGTAATGTGATGTTTTATAATAAAACTATGAGAATGATGCCATTTGAACTGGAAGTATGGGCAGATTGTTTTTCCCCAGTAGCTAGAAGGTAACAGCAAAAAACATTAAAAACAAAAACAATAAAGGCTCAGACCCCTTCTGGGAGGCCATGGAGAATGACTTCCTTGAGTTGGGAGGAAAAAGCCAGAGGCAGGAAAAAAATAGTGTTTTTTTTTTTAATTAAGCCTTTTTTTTTCATCCACATAGCTTTTATTTTCTAAATTTATCTTTATTGTTGAAAGTACTGATTTCCCCTCCCCCCATCCACCCTGTTCCCACCCCCAATTAAGCCCATTTTTATAGATGGTTACACAAGGCATTACTTTATTCACTAAAGAATTAATGGAAGAGTTTTTATGGGACCATTCTGAGTTGGAATCTGGAACTATAACTCATTAGCTTTGTGACCTTGGGCAAGTTACTTCCCAGCCTTAATTTCTTCACTTATAAAATACATAATATCTCTAATACTTACTAATATCTTCCTTACGAGGATGACATAAAGGATAAAAAAGCACCTACACGTCCCAGGCACCTAACATTCCACAATCACTTCACCTTCTTTAGCCTCTGCCCAAAGCAGCAAAGTTCTGTTTTAGGGGAATCCATACTTTAAAACATGACAATCTATCATCAAATGCTGAAATTGTAGATAATAAAGTGACAACACATAATATACAAGTGCTAAAGAAAATGACCTCATATCATTGACAAGCCACCCAGGACGCCTTCACCAAAACTAGGATAAAGGAGAGGCAGAACAGGAGGCCAGAAACTCAGGTGCTTGTGGAAAAATCTTCTTTCATCTTTGTAGTCACAAAAAGCAGGAACTCTTACTATCTTGTTTTATGCACAAAGGGTTATTTACAATTGTGTGTGGGGGGAGTAAGTAGCTCATATAAAGCCCCTCCAAAATCATTTGGTTTGGCTTCTGCCAAGGCATTCGGGGGTGAGTTAATGGAATGTCTGACCAAAATATAGGAGGCTAATTTTTAAGTTGATAATCTTGTATGGCCCTTGAATGATGTTATAAATATCCAAACGGCCCTTGGCAGAAAAAAGATTCCCTACCCCGGCTTTAAGACAAGCTCTGGAAAAGTTAACCCGCTATACATTACAGGGTCTACACCTTTAGGGAAAATGATAAAAAATGGCTTTTGCTAGAGCCTCATAAAGACCTTGCAAATTGGTCAGTTCAGTATTGGCTGACTGGGTGAGCGCCCGCGCCGTCAGGGTTTACACCCACGTTCAGAGGCATCCGCCTGCCTCTGGGCTCGCCTGGGAGCCGTCAGATTTGAGAAGTGCTTTTAAGGGTCCTTAAAGGAAGAATCAAACGAGCCCTGTGGCGAGTGATAACTGCGCCTCGAGTTTTTTGGCCCTGACACTTGCTGAGCCGTTGAAGATACCACCTAGTGACTGTAAAGACGTCCCCTGAGAAGGGCCAATATGGCGACGAACTCCTCCTGGCACAGTCCTGTTCCCTCCCCCGCAACAGGCAGTTTTAGTAATGCCCATTGGCCAAGATGGAGGCGGTGCCCTAGCTCTCTTCGCTTCCTCATTGGGCCGAGTGACTGACGGAGACGCTAATTCTCCTCTGCTTACTCTAAGTTGCCGCCCTCAGAGTTCATTCGGCATTTAATTGGCTTTTAGTTCCGTCAATTCGCGTCTTATCTTGTCTTTTTTCAGCGTTAATCCAATCATAACTTTCCTGGATGCCCGCCTGATTCTTAATTGGTT